AATAGCAAGTAGAATTAACCAAGGTCAAAACCTGACTATGTTCAATTTAAGGAACATATTGTCTCCGAACATGAGAACCAGATTATCCTCAAACATGAGAACCAGATTATCCCCAGACAATTGGTAATAAAATTATCCAATATGCCACAATTCCACAAAAACGCCCAACAAAATGGCAACAAAAATTTGGAACCAGCTTTTCAAATCTATTTCACATATAAGTAAAATGTCTAAATTCTCTTCCTTCTGTCAAATTTTGAGTAATTTCCGTTTTTACAAAGTAGTGCTTTGGGGGGGTCATCCATAAATGACGTCACGCTTCTTTTGACAATTTTTACCTCCCTTCCGTCACACATTGTCACACCACAGCCTACAACCCCCCCCCCCCCACTCAAAATTGCAGCTGAATTTTTCTTAAAACATCGATATTTTTCCAAAAATCTTGTAGGAACTCTGTCAACATGGAGTATTTTAATCTATTTCTATTAATTAAAAGTTTTCTACGTCATTTATGGACCCCTTTACGTTATTTCAGATTTATTAAAAAAAAACGCTTTTGAATTTATTAAGTACTAATATTCCGACTATTATACACACCTTGTTTGCTGTTCACTTGGTGCGCTATTCTTTTTTTTCTTAGAGATTCTATTCTATTTTAAAAAGTTTAAGCAAATTAAAAATTAATTTAAAAATATGTCTACATCCCGAGTTGCCATTCCCTGTAGTGTTCTATAGTTCGAGAAAGTTTAGGGGAGATCACTCCCGCTTTTTTGTCTATGCAACAGCGTGTGTTAGTTAGTGTAGAACAATTACTGCTACAGTGGATCAGTGGATCGGTTTTTTTTTTACAATACCACAAGTTTATTTAGATGCAAACTGTATACATTTTTTTGGGTCGAATCCTGAGTTCCCTAAACAACCTTACCCCCCTCCCTTGCCCCTCCCCCCCCCCCTGTTTTTTTTTTTGGAGGTATGGTAGTTCCGCCCCCGGTTCAAATTTATGTTGTGTTTACACCTTAAATTTACTTTCACTCCAATTTTTTTTCTTCTTTTAAATTTCACATTTTAAATTTCTGCTTTGGATAAAATTTAAAAAATATATAAAATGGTTTTTTTTCTTAAGTAAGAGTTTAGTTCGTAATAAAATAAAACATACGCTTCGAAAATAAGTAGTAATTATTGTTTTCTTGTTATCAAATGGGGGGGGGGGGGGGGTGAATTTTTAGCTACGATAAATTCGTGATTTTCGTAACGTGACTATCGTAAATCCATGTTAAATCTACAGCATTGTTAACATGATCTGATTGGACTGAGTCATGTTGTGATGAATCATTAAGGGACGATAACCCTCAATAAGTAGATAACCAGAACAACGCATGCTATAGGGATGCTTACAACAGCTGCAGCAGCTTATGATCCATTTCATAATGGCGTGGGAGGGGGACGACAGGGGGGGGGGGGGGGTAAATCATTTGTTTCACCCTTGATATTTGATGTAATCTGTTGGGCTGCACCGATCTGTTGGAGTTTGATCCACGTCACCGTGTGATGACTCACGGATCTTTTCGCTGACATCTACTACACTCCACATCTCTTACACTCTCCTCACCTCTTACACTCAACTCATCTCTTACACTCTCCTCATCTCTTACCATCTCCTCATCTCTTACACCCTCCTCACCTCTTACACTCTCCTCACCTCTTACACTCTCCTCATCTCTTACACTCTCCTCATCTCTTACAATCTCCACATCTCTTACATCTCTTACACTCTCCTCATCTCTTACACTCTCCTCATCTCTTACACTCTCCTCATATCTTACACCCTCCTCACCTCTTACACATCTCTTACACTCTCCTCATCTCTTACACTCTCCTCATCTCCTACACTCTCCTCATCTCTTACACCCTCCTCACCTCTTACACTCTCCTCACCTCTTACACTCTCCTCATCTCTTACACTCTCCTCATCTCCTACACTCTCCTCATCTCTTACACCCTCCTCACCTCTTACACTCTCCTCACCTCTTACACTCTCCTCATCTCTTACACTCTCCTCATCTCTTACACTCTCCACATCTCTTACATCTCTTACATTCTCCTCATCTCTTACACTCTCCTCATCTCTTACACTCTCCTCATCTCTTACATCTCTTACACTCGCCTCTTCTCTTACACTCTCCTCATCTCTTACACTCTCCTCATCTCTTACACTCTCCACATCTCTTACACTCTCCTCACCTCTTACACTCTCCTCATCTCTTACACTCTCCTCATCTCTTACACTCTCCTCATATCTATAACACTCTCCTCATCTCTTACACTCTCCTCATCTCTTACACTATCGTTATCTCTTACACTCTCCTCACCTCTTACACATCTCTTACACTCTCCACATCTCTTACATCTCTTACATTCTCCTCATCTCTTACACTCTCCTCATCTCTTACACTCTCCTCATCTCTTACATCTCTTACACTCGCCTCTTCTCTTACACTCTCCTCATCTCTTACACTCTCCTCATCTCTTACACTCTCCACATCTCTTACACTCTCCTCACCTCTTACACTCTCCTCATCTCTTACACTCTCCTCATCTCTTACACTCTCCTCATATCTATAACACTCTCCTCATCTCTTACACTCTCCTCATCTCTTACACTATCGTTATCTCTTACACTCTCCTCACCTCTTACACATCTCTTACACTCTCCTCATCTCTTACACTCTCCTGATCTCTTACACTCTCCTAAACTCTTACACTCTCCTCACCTTTTACACTCTCCTCATCTCCTACACTCTCCTCATCTCTTACATCTCTTACACTCTCCTCATCTCCTACACTTTCCTCATCTCCTACACTCTTCTCATCTCTTACATCTCTTACACTCTCCTCATCTCTTACATCTCTTACACTCTCCTCATCTCTTACACTCTCCTCATCTCCTACACTCTCCTCATCTCTTACATCTCTTACACTCTCCTCATCTCTTACAATCTCCTCATCTCTTACACTCTCCTAATCTCCTACACTCTCCTACACTCTCCTCATCTCTTACACTCTCCTCATCTCTTACATCTCTTACACTCTCCTCATCTCTTACATCTCTTACACGCGCCTCTTCTCTTACACTCTCCTCTTCTTTTACACTCTCCTCATCTCTAACACTCTCCTCATCTCTTACACTCTCCTCATCTCTTACACTATCCTCATCTCTTACACTCTCCTCATCTCTTACACTCTTCTCATCTCCTACACTCTCCTCATCTCTTACACCCTCCTCATCTCTTACACTCTCCTCACCTCTTACACTCTCCTCATCTCTTACACTCTCCTCATCTCTTACACTCTCCTCATCTCTTACACTCTCCTCATCTCTTACACTCTCCTCATCTCTTACATCTCTTACACTCGCCTCTTCTCTTACACTCTCCTCATCTCTTACACTCTCCTCATCTCTTACATCTCTTACACTCGCCTCTTCTCTTACACTCTCCTCATCTCTTACACTCTCCTCATCTCTTACACTCTCCACATCTCTTACACTCTCTTCATCTCTTACACTCTCCTCATCTCTTACAATCTCCTTATCTCTTACACTCTCCTCATCTCTTACACCTCTTACACTCTCCTCATCTCTTACAATCTCCTTATCTCTTACACTCTCCTCATCTCTTACACTCTCCACATCTCTTACATCATTTGTTTACTTGATGGAGAGATTCTCTAGCTTCCTGTGTGCACGATTAAAATTTAAAAATATGTTATCCATAACAAATTTAAATCGAGATAAATCATATATTCAGCAAATAAATAAAGCAACACAAGTAGTTTTAATAATTCAAAACAAAATAGAAAAAATATTTATTAACGAGATTTAAAAAAATTTGCGGACGTGTAGGGGGTATTTAGTTGTCGCGCTCCAGAGGCGTATCCAGGTTTTCGTTGTAGGGGGAGCGAAAAGAGCAAAAAAGGCGCCGAATTTTTAACACGTTCTATATAAGTGTATTATATATAGATACATGTTCTATATACGTGTATTATATATATATATATATATATATATATATATATATATATATATATATATATATATATATATATATATATACATATACTAGCTGTATGTCATTACTTCGCTATGATGTAAAATAAATTGAAAGTAGCACTCTGAAGAAATAAGAAAAAACACACAATGTAGGCCGACAAAACAAAAATTGTATCAATCTAAACAAAATATATATATATACACACACACTACAGCCAAAAACAATGAACGTAACACAATCTGTTTTGCAATTCTTGTAAAAACAAGTAATTAAATAAAGTCTAGTGACAATTTTAGCGCAATTTCCTTGTGTTATCTAAAAATAGCTCTGTCGTAGCGTAAATCAAGAGCAGGGTTAGTAAAACCATTGGTTAGTTATTAAAACGTTTTTTATCAATTTTTTTTTCAGTATTTTACATGTTTTATTTACAATAGAGTAACATGCTACCGAACGTGACGTCGCAGCCATTGAACGTGATGGCGCAGCTTTTGAACGTGATGACGCGTGTGGTGTGGTTGCATAAAATGCCTACTAATTCGGTCCAAATTTTAATTAATTCAAAAATTTTTTTGTGACCGAACGAAAGGATATTTTTGAAAACTTTCTTCGGCAATATTGTTCTAAATTATGGCAGGAATCGATTGGTACATGTTTCAAGTCGCTAAGTGGTCTGGTTGCCGAGATATGGGCCAAAAACTGCTTTTTTCCGAGGTTTTTTGGCTTTTCCGGGAAATACATGAAAGAAACCCGGAATTTTTATGGCCTATGTTCATCCTCGTAACTTGCTTAACATAATTGCTTTTGGAACTAGTCATCGATATTGCTTCGTTGAGGAGGAGATACGACTTAAAGCTGCGGACACACATCTATCCATCCATCCATTCATTCATACATTCATACATCCAGAAATGACGGGTTAATAAACGCAATTCTCCAGAATGGAAATTGCGCTAAAAATTTCTTACATAATAATTCCTGGGAAATTATTTAAGACAAGTTAAATAGGGGAAATAATCACTCTCTTAATATAAATATGTATATATCTACACATTTAATTATAAATGTCAAAACAAATAAATAATTACTTTAGAATATAATGAAATTATTCAACACTATTCGTGTTTACAAAATGTTTTGTCTATAATCAGACTTTAATATATCGTCATCATAAATGCTAAAGTATTACAGCATAATGAAAGTTTTTAAAATCAGAGTTGGTATAAAACCTTGCTTTTCGATATAGCAGAAACACATTCGGATTAACAGCCCACATTTAACTAAATTTTTGGTCTTTTGGTTCAGATCATATATTTTTAACTACTGCTTCTTTGTGTTCTTTAAAGATCATTTTTTACTTTCTCGTATACACGAAGTATAGAGAAAGTCTTGTAATCGTGCAAAATAAAAAATCGAGATTTTTACAAACCTCGACGTTTTACACCTCACTGATACGGAAAAACAATTTTGCAATCTTGTCCGTATGTCTGTGTGTCTGTCAGTGTGTCTATCTGTCTGTGTGTAAACACGATAACTTGAGTACCGTTACAGCTAGGTTGATGAAATTTCATATCTAAGTATTTTATCAAAATCGTAGATCCTGATCAACTTTTGAGGGATTTCCGATAACCGGAAGTGGTACTTTTTCTACTTTGAATTTTTCAAAAGCCTATAACTTGAGTACTATTTCAGAGTTTTTCTACATGTACTTAACAGATCAGTTCGGGGTGGGTGGGGGGGGGGGGTTCAACTTCTTTCATTCACCACTGTCCGTTCACTTTAGGTCAATTATCCAACCCAGTGTATACCTAGGTGTGACATTAATGTCGCTCTACACAATTGTGGTGGTGAGGTGTGTGTGTGGTGGGGGGGATGACCAACTCAGAGTGAACATAGCGTCAGTTTTTAGATGACTGTTCTAAACATACATATATATTACACAAATATATATTACACAAATATATATTACACAAATATATATTACACAAATATATATTACATAAATAGATTTAAATAAATAGCAGTGGTATTATGACTATAATTTTTTTACAAAAGGGTCGATGTGGGAGGGGGGTTGTTACTGTTTCATATAATTTGTAATCGTAATCACTATCGCCCAAACAGTAAGAATACTACTACTTCATCGTGATGACGTGGTTGACCTTGTCAAAATGTCCCCCACCACTACGCAGTTTGCTCATAAGTAAATTTAAATAGAGGTGCCACATCAGTTGTATTTGTTTCTGTATTGTAATTTTAAAAAATTAATCACATGATTCAAACTGTATATATAAAGTAATTACGTGTGAAGTTTTATGTATAATATTTTCTAATTCTATTATTCGTAAGCAAATACATTATACAGTTGCCCAAAACTTAACACCTCTCTTGCCAAGTGGTACTACCGTAGAGGTTTTTTTAAACTTTGCAATGCATTGTAATGGTTATTTTTAGAATGGCAAACTGGTGCAGCTGTTAATACGTGTTGTAAGCGTAGACACTACTAGACTAGTACAATAATGCTTAATTGCTGCATGAAAAGAAATCTTGTGATCTACATAGATGTGCCGACCAAAAATATTTTTTAACAAATATCATTGTTTGAAACTTTGAGTTTAAAAAGTTTCAAAAAGGCGCCACTTTGATGAAAATGGCCAGAGGGGGAGCGGCCCTGCTCCCCCCTGCGTACGCTACTGTCGCGCTCTCTATATTGCTATATAGTACTGTAGTGTATTATGTATAATGTAATTTTTTTTAAAAATTTGTGACCGAACGAAAGGATATTTTTGAAAACTTTCTTCGGCAATATTGTTCTAAATTATGGCAGGAATCGATTGGTAAATGTTTCAAGTCGCTAAGTGGTCTGGTGGCCGAGATATTGGTCAAAAACTGCATTTTTTCAGGTTTTTTTTACTTTTCCAGGAAATCTAGGAAGGAATTCCGGGAATAATTTTTTTGGCCCACAATCATCCTCGGAACTTGCTTAACATATTTGCTTTGGAATTAGTCCTCGATATTGCTTCGTTGAGGAGGAGATACGACTTAAAGCTGCGGTAAAGCTGCGGACACACATCCATACATCCATAAGGAGATACGACTTAAAGCTGCGGTAAAGCTGCGGACACACATCCAGAAATGACGAATTAATAATCGCAATTCCGGTATGGAAATTGCGCTAAAAAATATTATAATAAGCTTTGAGAAGCACTGACATAAGAAAAAAAAAACTTTCTTCCATTATTATGGTCGCTAAGATGTAAGGAATGTCATGATTTTATAAAAAGCCTACTTTAATATTAATACTAGCCGTCCCGGCCAGGCCCTGCTCTGGCTTCTGTGAAAAACCTTTCTGTTAAAGACCGTTACCTGTGTGTTTAGTAATCATCATAAACCCGGCATTGCCCACCCAAACCACAACCAACCAAAACAACAAAACGCAAACATAACGCTAACACAATTACAAATACAAACGAAAACAAAAACCTAACAACAAACCCAACCAAAATCACAAACACCAATACAAACACAAAGAAAAAACAAACAAAAAAGCAAACGAAAACAAAAACCTAACAACAAACCCAACCACAACCACAAACACCAATACGAACACAAAGAAAAAAACAAACGAAAAAGCAAACGAAAACAAACCAAATCCAAACGCAAAACCAACCACAAACACAAATACAAACACAAACCCAAAGAAAAAAACACAAACGAAAACGAAAAAAAGAAAGAACAAAAACGAACCAAATCAAAACGCAACCACTAACGCAAATCCAACCTAAACACAAAGAAAACACTAACGCGATCATAAACGCAAAGTGCTCACAGTCTAGCCCGGGACAGAATCGCCTGTTTCAGCTTAATAATCGACTATAGTACCCCAACTTATTCATAGTCTTTTTGCACTCACTTAAACGAACGTAGGTGCCAAACCAAACCAAATGAACAATTATAATACTCCAAGCTTATTTGTAAAATACCTACAACATTTGCACTTGATCAATCCCCGCTAATTATGTAATTATTTTTTCCCAACACCAAAACAAAGTAATAAAAAGTAAATTCTTTTCCACTTATGCAATGTTTTATAAAGGGAAGTAATTGTGTTTTCCTAATTTATCAAAGGGAAGTAAGTGCTAAAGGACTAAATATAAATAATTTTCAGACATAATTAGAATTTTTGTTATTTTTTTTAAATTGTGTTTAATGAACATGCCGACAATTATTACTATCAGTTTGAAAAATGAAAATTATTTACCAACACTTTCAATAGTAATTTTTTAACTCACAAATTTAGACTATGAGCACGATAATAGTCTAACACTTTAATCCATAGAAGTATGTCAACGACAAAGAAACTTATTACATGTTACATACAGAATTGAGCTTTATATATTAGATTATTATTATTATTAGTATTATTATTATTTTTCAGTCGGTTCAATCTTACTGAAGTCGACACTACACTAAAAATATTTTAAACTCTGTAAGTAGCTTGCGATCTCTAATAAAACTAGTATCTTCGCACACAGAGAAAAGTTATGCTCTTTTGAAAAATTCAAAGTAGAAAAAGTACCACTTCCGGTTATCGGAAATCGCTCAAAAGTTGATACGGATCTACGATTTTGATAAAATACTTATAT